CAGTCTCAGCAGTTTACTGAGAGCTTGACTCAAAATAAAAAATAAAAAGGGCTGGCAATGTGGGATTGGGCTGGCTCAGAGGTAGAGTGCGCTCGCCTAGTATGCATGAGGCACTGGGTTCAATCCTCAGCACCACATGAAAATAAAATGAACCTTGTGTCCATCCACCTATAACTAAAATAATAATAATAATATTTTAAAAAGGGCTGGTGATGTGGCTCAGTGGCAGAACACCCTGGGGTTCAATTCACAGTACAAGGGGGAAAAAGTGTCGAATGAATAAAGGTAGAAGAAACCCTGAAAGACAGCCAGGAAAAGTAGAGTGGCTCTCAGGGCAGGTGCAATACACAGGAAATGCAGGCTGGTCTCCCTTCCCTGATACTGTCCGGCTTCAGAATCACCTTTCTTTCCTTCTGTGCGGGGAGTGTGGTTCAAATTCTGCCTTTCTTGAAACAGTGTGAAGACAGAGATAGGGATCTGAGAGTCCAAGGGCTGTCCTTGGGGCTTTGCTTGAGGTTATAGACATTTCACAGGCCTCTTATCTGTGATTTCTTCCTCCAGATAAATAGAAAGCAGGGATTTTTTTTTCTTCTTAATACTAGGGATTGAACTGAGGGATGCTTAACCACAGATCCCCAGCCCCAACCCATTTTATCTTTTATCTCTATCTTTTGAGACAGGATCTCACCAAATTGCTTCGGGCCTTGCAAAATTGCTGAGACTGACCTTGAACTTGTGATTCTCCTACCTCAGCCTCCCAAATCTCTGGGATTACCGGTGTGAGCCACCACACCTGGTGAAAGCAGGGGTTTTGATTTGGGAACTGGTAGGGAGAGGAAACAGCTTTGGAGCCATCCTCGTGGGAGTGTATGGTAACAACTCTCTTTTCCCATTCACCTGCGGCTCAGAGTTGGGGGACCCAGGAAAGCTTCCAGAGGAAATTGTTCTACCTTGGGGACAGGAATGACTCAATTTCCTTCTGGAGCGAAAGGAAGCTATAAAGCTCTGTTTCTTATATGCTTACTGATAATTTCAGTGTTTGGGGGTCTAGACTCTTGCCTCTTTTCCTCAATAGCCGAGATAAAGAATGTCCCCTTCCCCTTGAGAACTCAAAAGCCTATTTCTCCCAGCCTCTTACCAGATCCTGGCTTAGCTGCTTTCTTGCCACCATTTTGTGTGTGTGTGTGGTGCATGTGAGGCAAGCACTCTATCAACTGAGCTATATCCCCAGATCTTTTGATGCCAGTGATGCCATTCTTTATTATTATTATTATTATTATTATTAATTTTAGTTGTACATGGACACAATACATTCATTTTATTTATTTTTATGTGGTGTTGAGAATCAAACTCAGTGTCTCACACATGCCAGTGGAGAGCACTACCACTGAGCCACATCCCCAGCCCTTGCCACCATTTTTTTATGTTTATTTTTTTGAAGTAGTTGAACACAACACCTTTATTTAGTTATTTCTATGTGGTGCT